AGATGAAAAGGACAGGAAAGAAGATCGGATTAAGAAACATCATTTAATGTAAGTGCTTTAATTAACATAGGGGGGAGGGAAAAATATTTTTGACTGTAATGTCACTTTAAGTCAAGGAGACCGGGTGAGAGTGCTGATATGACAAGGAAGTGCCTAAGGCTTACAAGGGTGCCTATAAAACAATATGTGGTAAAACATGCAAGTAGGAAAGGTACATACTACAGTTTATTTTCTATTTTGGTATTTTGGAGGGGTGCTTTCAAGCCACCGGGTATCAATGTAGATTGCCTCACTTTGGATATGGCCGATGGACCGATGTGAAGTTGGAGAGTCTGGTGCCAATTCGTAGGTAAGGGGAGCATATGACCCTCTCCGCTTCCTCCCAAAATGTAGTGCTTGGGACAAGGTGGCCAAATGACAAGCCTGAACACTGTCACATGGGGGAGAGGAGAAGGCCATTTACTTTTTGTAAAGCTGGCCATACAGTGGCCATCTCCTTTGACAAAAGTTAAATAAAATATTGACTTTTGTTGAACGGGGAGGGGGGTACGAAGTTGTGTTGGGGCCTGGGAGGACCACTCACCAGTCAGATTTTGGCCATGTCAGCAGGACTTGGACAAAATTTGACCAGTGTATGGCCAACACAGACCAACAGAGATTAGGCTTCCAGGCTTCCAGTGGCGAATTGTTGTGTCAGAGGAGCGCGGTAAAGACAAGTAACAGCGGCTCGGGAGAGGAAGGGCTGTCAAGAGGATCTGTTGCATTGGCCTGTGTGGGTAAATATTCTCATGAAAGAAATATACAGAATTACATTTGTTACCTCTTTCTGAAAGTGTCCGGTTGACTCTGCTTTCAACTCTTTCCCAGTCCCTAACCCAGAACAGGTAAGTAGCTCCTGAAGTTCCGACTCATAATCAGCACATTTCAGGCCAAGGACTCAGAAAGTACAGAGGCCAACAAATCACCATGATGGCCAGTCAACAAGCTTTCTGAAAAGTAGAGGTCAGTGGTAGCAGCCTGCATATTTTTCTACAGGTTTCCTTTAAACGCAATACCTAAATACACTACAAAGACAATATATGCCTACCCTCCTCCTTTATATTATTTTATATATATTTCTGCCATGCAGGTGCTCTTTAATACAGGGGGGATATAACTGCCCTGCACATTCACAGCAGACCTGTGTAGAAGACATGACAGGCAGAGGTGGGCAGATAATAACCACTTGCAAGGACTGATGGGAAAGTCTTTTTTTATCAGCTTGGATAAAATTACACACTAATATCAGGGTTTGTTCCCTGCTTGCTTCATGCTCGGAAAATAAAAGCGTATACATGTTCTTGTTCATGTTGCAGACCTGTAAAAGTTGGAGGAAAAAATGTAATGTGTCAACAGATGCAAGTGGAGTCATCTTAACCTGACCGTGCAATTGACATTCAGGCAAGGTGCAGCTGACAGGAACCTCTACTCCCAGCTAATACAGGGGAAGGCAAAGACTATTCAGGCAGTCTCATGTAAAACCCCAAAATATTTTAAGATAGCATAAACTATATGGATACAAAAATTGTGGACACCTGACCATCACAACTAAACCTTATACACAAAAGTATCTTGGCACCCCTAAATGACTGCGCTCAACTGATTCCAGTGATGGGTAGAACTAACGATACAGCAAGACATTTTCAACAGTTGTGCACATCCAGCCTTGTGCAACTGTTTGGGGAAGACCCTTTTCTGCTCCAGTATGACTGTGCCTCCGCTGTGCACAAAGCCAGCTCCATAAAGAAATGGTTCAACCAGTGTACTGTGGAGGAAATGAGGTGGCATGCACAGAGCCTTGACCTCAACCCTACTAAACACCATTGGGATCAACTGGAACGCCAATTGCAAGCTAGGTCTTCTAGTCCAATATCACTAGCTGACCACACAAATACTCGTTTGACTGAATGGCCACAGATTATCACGGACACCTTCCAAAATCTTGAGTAAGCTTAAATGGTTGTGATGGTCAGGTGCCCACAAACCTTTGGACTTACAGTGTACGTGTTTTACAGCTTCTGTAGAATTTATTTTTACAAAAACATTGTATTGCCACCATTTTTTATGCTCCCTCTGAGGGAGCTGCAGCCTCAGAGCATTGTAAAAAGATGTACAGCTCATGATCATGTGACAAGAGGCTGCATACCCAACAAAACCTCGAAAAGCCTGCTCAGTATGGCTACACTGCATTTCATACAAAATCAGATTACCTTACTAAGGGGACCTTCTCACCTCAGTCTCCCTCTGAGGGAGCTGCAGCCTCAGAGCATTGTAAAAAGATGTACAGCTCATGATCATGTGACAAGAGGCTGCATACCCAACAAAACCTCGAAAAGCCTGCTCAGTATGGCTACACTGCATTTCATACAAAATCAGATTACCTTACTAAGGGGACCTTCTCACCTCAGCACAGTCAGCATTTCTTGGAAAGCATGAGCACTGAATGACT